AAAAAAAAAAAAGAGTCTCCTCCTTGATTCAAAAAAGTATTTCTTAATAGTTTGATACTGTCTGTATCTAATAACACCCAGAATGGAACGAGAACGAAATGTTTTGGACATTTGCTGATATAAATGTTCTGTTACGTGGATATTCTGAATACATATTCAGGCATCACCTTATAAAACCATATGTATCATATTTCATGCACATCTTTCGAAAGCCTCTACATCATTAGCATAATAAATATGTTCCTAAAAACCGTTTGTTTACAATCTACTTACATGTCTTCTGCGCCCTGGTGGATAATCCATGATCTTCATTAAGTAGAAAACCTTAATATGGTTTCCAAAATGTCTGCCTCTGTGTCGCGATGCACATTGCTAGGACGTTTTTCGCTGATTTTAAGAAGAAAAAAAAAGGCGAGAATAACTTTACAGTTTTACTGATGCTTGCTTGCATTTTCATGCATTATAAGCAATAAGCTACTAGAGGCAGTGTATTGTAAATAAGTCACGGGTGAAGGGCGTTGTTAGGCACGACGCAAAGCCTCAAGTACCTTTATTGCTTTTATAAAACGGTCACCACACAATGCAAATATTAAAATGCATGTATTGATATCTTCATCCATTATTCATTAAACGCTATCCTTCCGCTAAAAATAGTTCCTGACAGTGACCGTAACATGGCAAAATAATGTTCCTAGCACTGATCTATAATAGAGATAGGCTACATATAGGCCTATCAGTGGTTCCTAGGTATAACATGCCTTATCCTACATGGAGCTAAAAATAAAAGAGAATAGGAACAGTTCTCATCCGCTGTCATCTTTTTCAACACCATATTTGACATTTTCTTACACACATACATCCGCTTATCTCTCAGCATGAGAAAGCGTCTGTGTTCCGTCTTTTCGTTTAAAACTGTTGTACTGTTATACACAGCGCGAGTTTGTGTCATTACAATGTAAATTGATTGACATACAGTACCATACCTGAAACAGAAAACTAATAATATTCTCTCCACACTTCGGAAACTGTGGGCTTCCACACATCAAAGTATCTCCCATATGAGAAGAATTTCCTTGACGGCGGGAAGGGCGTGGCGTAATTTTTTTTTTTAGATTTGAATGACGCAACATAACGCTCAAAATTCATTACATAAATAATAAATACATAAATACATAAAAATACATAAATAATAAATACGTAAATAATTGTTTATCAATATAGGCTATTACATTTGGGTGGGTGCTAAGGGTGCTGAGCAGTGATACACAGAACGTTGGGTGAAGCGGTCATAGTCGTGCTTTAAAACAGCTGTTGACCACTCAGAATCAAGGACTGCGACTAACCTTTTTATAGTTATATATAATATCAGTCATCATTTTAAGCCCACCACTATAAAAATGCAATAATTTAATAATTAAATTAAATTAAATTAATTAAAAATCGCATTTATATAATTCGACTTAGACATATTTAGAATGGTATACATATATGTACAGCCTGCTTTATCATTATTAAAATTAACAAGGCTAATCTAGTTATAGGAATCAGTTTAATGCTTTTACATAATTGGAATATGACCGATGAAAGATAAATCATGCAGATGCGCTGGGACACATCATCAGTGATGTATCCTAGGGTCACTGGGTGTTTCGGGTCTTTCAACATCAGACACCCTCGCCCAGGCGACCCAGCCGGGGTTGATCAGTTGTCAGATTAGTTTGGGGTTGACCTGTGTCCCAACAGCATATGCCCACAGTTCTGCCCTCTTAATCCAAAGCCACCTAGCGACTTTCTCTGCGGCTTCAGTTGCGGATCTGATCACCTTTCTCTTTGCCTCCCCGGTGATCCCTAGTAGTGTAAACACTTTGCAAAGTGATCACCCTGCAAATCCTCTGCAGCCCACCTCTGGAGGCTCACAACGAGTTTGCCAGGCCTGCCTCCTGCACTCTTCAGCTTTTGCCCCAGACGTGGAGGTTTGCTGGACTTGGTAGGAAGTCGTAGTCGGTTTGGACTAAGAACCTGATACGATGGAAGTCTGCTTTCCAGATGTTGGCCCAGGTGATCTTACGTTGCCGAACATTTTCCCATTTAGTCCAAGCTCCTTGCTGTCCCATTCCCACCATCCTGCTAGCTCTTGCTTCTTCCACGCCTGCCCACACTTTCTCCTGAACAAGATTAATAATTTAATTCTGATTCATATTGGAATATTCTTGGTCATGCAGTCACCTTAAAGATGCTGTCAGGTTTCAGGTTGGGATAATTGTTAATCATCTGTCTTAGTGTAATGGTAAGCAGCTCCTCTTGTGGATTTATGCAGGGTAAAACCTTCCCTTAAATGGCCAAGCAACATGCTTACTCTATGCAAATCAGTGGCTTTGAAAACAGATGTCTCCACAGTGGAGGAGAATGGCTAGTTGCCATACTTGGCTATGAAGGGGTGAGGGGGCAGCATGCTTTTGGATCTGGCGCTCTCTATCCTCCTTCATTTCTCTAGCCTTCCCGTCCCATTACTCTCTAGGGGAGTGAGTATCTTTTCAAAGGTTGGCCTCTGTTCACTGCATACCTCTACCACAAAAGGAAGAGCGAGTTGCAGTATCCAGCGTTTGTTCGTATGTTTCCATACTTTTGAGACAGCTGTCTCCACACGAATGCAGTTTGTATTTGTCGTCCCAGACTTGACCCTTTTTTGTGAGTGAAATTTTACACTGTTTGTGCATTTTATTTTCACATGAACATGAGGCATTACGTCATTTTTAATTTTTGCGACCCAAATCACATCAGTGTCTACCCATTTTGGCTCCGATTCATAATGGATGTACAGTGACACAGGTATAAATGATGAGTGTTTTCATTTACCACAGTGTTCTCATAAAACACAGAGCGGTTTAAAGAAAATGGCCTCAGAATTGATTTCCTTCATCTCTGTCCCACATTAAACTGAACTGCTATGTGTGCTTTAATTCACTGCTTTTTCTTTTTTCTTTCTTTCTTTCTTTCTTTCTTTCTTCCTCTCGCTCTCTCTCTGTCCGCAGAACATTCAGTTATTGATCGCACACCCACTTCAGCCCCCCAGTGTTCCTGCCTGCCATACAGCTATTTCTCTCTGTTCAGTCTTACTCGCTCTCTTTCCCTGTTATTTCTTATACTCTTAGTTTTCATCTGTTTTGTTTTCCCTCCTCCTCCTCCCTCTATCCTGCTACAACACAAACGTCACTACCCTGCAGTAGAAACAATGCTTTGAAGTTTCAATGGCTTCTCCTCTCTTTTGTCTTTACGCTGATTAGGACCCAGCTGTCTATTATTCAGACATTTTGAATTTGAGTTTGAGGGCTGGCGTGTGCTTCTCTGATTTAATCATTCAGAAGTAGGGAGAATGGGGTGATATGTTGTCCCCTTAATCTAGCAAACTGTACATTATATTTCAGAAGGACCTTTCGTGCCCAGCAAACTCAGAATGGTTAACTTACATTATTGTATTGTTCTTGTTTGAATATTTCTTTGGGAACCAGTTCCTAACATTCTAGCAATATTCTTATTAGGTTTTCATTTTTAACACTGCCAGAACATTCTTGAAACCAAAATTGTTAGCTGGGTATACATATGCACACAGGAAAAGCGATCAGTATTGTTATGCAAAAATAAATAAATAAATAAATACAATTAATTTAAAAAATGTTTTTGCATGTCAAAGTTAGCAGGTAACGTGAAAGCACATTTATCCAGGTCTAAAAAATAGTTTATACATGTTGCTGAGTTTCCACTATACTCAGGGGTGGACTTACCCATTAGGCAAAGGTAGGCGACCGCCTTGGGCCCCCAAAAGCCAAGGGCCCCCTAAAATGCTTTTCATATAGGATATGCGCATTAAGCGCTGACACGCGAACGGTTGCTGTTTACGGTGTTTGTTACCACGACAACCGTCCGAGACTCCGAGTTGAACGTGCTTTTTGTGTACCCTGCTTGAGGGAGATGAAAATATTATGCATCTGAATCTGTAATTAAATACTGAGAAATGGTGTGTATTATAAGTTTATAATTGTTTTAAATGCCGCTTACTCATTTATCAGAAGGAACCAAGTAGAGGACACAGTTACTTTTTTGGTTGATATAATGTATGTAAATGTATAATTGCCTTTTCATTATTTTTTCAGTTTTATTTAAATTTGTAGTTAAAATAACTAAAAATAAATGTATTTTAAAGTTTAGAACTAGACAGCCTTTGCACACAGGTTTACGCTGGTAACTCATCAGTGGATTTTCCTCGTCAATATAGGCTATATTTTGTCACACTTTTCTCATTCTATATTTCTGACGTTTGAAACATTGGACACAACTATGGGGCACCATTGTGCAGCAGCAAGCATCACAACAAAAAAAGAAACCTCAAGGTTAATCAAGGAAAATGTGTGCAAATGTATAGGGCCCCATTCCTACATTTTGCCTGGGGCCCCCAATTCACTAAATCCGCCCCTGACTATACTCAAGTGGAATATAGTATAGTACAGTACAGTATAGTACAGTACAGAATAGTATAGTACAGTATAGTATAGAACAGTACAGTACAGTATAGTAGAGAGAGGAGTATATCCTCTCTCTACTAATAAATTGTTAATTAGTAATTTACATTAGTAATTGTTTACCCACACATTTATATTCATATTTTTAATTAAAATGTAAAAAGTTACATGGGAATTATTCCCATATGATTCAGCTTACCCCTTGACATTACACAACTTACCCCAAACATTTCATTTTTTCCTTTTCAGAAATGTTCTACTTGGCAGATAAAAATGTATTTTATGTCAAAGCAAATTTATTTAGGTCTAAAAATATATTATACATTTTGGTGAATGTTCAAAGTATAAAAATATGCAAATTACTTGACTCAGTGTTATTCAGTAATTTTTAAATAAAGTATTTTTACCAAAATAATAGCTGTATGGGCTTTGGGTTAATATATAGTGAGCTATTAATAATAATAAAAATAATACTTTTGAGAAATAAAATGACAATGATTTTAATTCATTTAAGTATATTGAATATTAAACCTGGCTGGTTTATGAAAATACAAATAATGTGAAGCAATTCATGTTATTTAGCAATTTGCATTAGTAAACATTTGTATGTTTGTATGTGTGTGTGTGTCTTGTTCAGGCAGGGGCTCGACTCAATTATTCGATGGCTCTGGGAGACTGAAAGGAAGATAGATGCGTGTTTTAAACATTCCTCTTGTCTTAGCCCCTCTCCTTACCTACTACCTACACAAACACACACACACACACACACACGCACGGCTGAAATACACCCCCACAGCTTATGTACCTATCTCTGGCCCCTCCCTCTCCTGAATCATGTGGGAGGGAAGCCCGCAGGTCCTTTCAGTGATGAGATCAATGGATGAGCGCAGGCAGAATGCAAGGTCACCTTCATGGACCCAGCGCAGAGCAGGAGAGAAACAGAGAGATGGCAATGTAGAATCCGTGACATTAAAGCAGGTGCACACTTTGCCCTCGTTGCAGCAATGCGATGTGTTTTCAAAACCATTGTTTACAAAAGAGCTTTATTTCTTTGCTTTCTCATCTCAGACACCCCTCCTTTTCATGTACCAATTAGTCGCTGGTAGTGTTCGGGCTTCAAACACCCCTTCCCTCCCTCACCGTAAATGCTCCTGCAGCCGCAGGGAAAGGGATCGAGTTTTCTCTCGTCTTTATTCATCAAGTGAGTCACTGGCAATGGCTGCCTGGAAGAGGTTAAAAAAAGTCATATGTGACAGAGGAGAGGAGGGATGATATAAGCCCTCATGAAAGCAAATAACAATGGGAGGATCATTCGGGCGAGGAGGAGAATGGAGCCCAGAGAAAAGGAGTGGAGGAGGAGGAGGAATCGTACCGATCGTAAAGCTTGACCGTACTCGGAGATTAACAGCGTTTAGCCTCGCTCTCTGTCTCTTCTTTTCATTTATGAACTTGCAGACCAGTGGCTTTCAACTATTGGGCTGTGAACCAAAAATGGGTAGTGGGTTTATTCTGACAGAGCAGGGGATTTGAATGCAATGGAAACGGTTTCCATATCTTTTGTTGTTGACGTCAAAGTTCACAAATCAGTAGCATATTTGGGCACAAGTTTCTCACTTGGTAGAAGCTACCCAAATTACACAGATGCCAACATGAACAGGTTGCATAACATGCCTCCATCCTCAAACCATAAATATAACTACATTTGAATGCTATAAAGACAGTCCTGTCCAGTTTTAACATAAAATAAGATATTTTCAAGAATGTTGCTAACCAAACTGTTTCGGTTATCATTTACTTTCACTGAAGGTCCAAAAAAGAAAAAAAGAAAAAGAAAAACACTGCGACATTTTTCAAAGCATCTTCTTTTATGGTCCACAGAAGAAAGAAAGTCATATGTTTGGAATGACACGAGGGTGAGTGAATAACAGAATTTTATTTTTTTTTCATTTTATTTTTAATTATTTAGCGTATGACATGTTGGGCCTATACAGTTCATGGTAATATTAAATGAAAATATTGGGAACATTTGTGGAATAATTTTGATCACAATAATTTATATTAAAAAATCAGGATCACAGTGAGACATTTTCAATTAAAAGTGAATGGTGCCAATATTTGGAGCAGAAATGTGAAGCTTAGAATTTTGTAAAATCACTTGCAATAATTCTTCTTTTAAAACTTTAGTAATAACTGAGTCTGTAATGTTCTCACCAAATTTATGGTTGTTTTAGGATTTTAGGAGTTACGCTGTCATGCCAACAAGATTGTAAAATTGGATATAACGTCAGAGAAAATGTCAAGTGATTTTTTACACTAGAAATCATGTAAATACATGCAGTTTACATCTTGTGCCTTTTTTTAAAACAGTATTTTAATCTTGGTTGGGCCCCATTCACTTCCATTGTAGCATTTATTTATTTATTAAAGAAAATGAGGGACAAGTCCTTTTATTGGTAATCAAGATTATGCTAAAAATGCTGCAAATTGACCTTAACTTGTATTGAACTCCTTAAATCAATGTTTGATTTTAAGGACAGTTTTGTTTACTTCTGTGATAAACTATTTTGTTATTGTGGCAGGTTGCCTCTTTGTCATTTGAGAACCACTGCTGTTGATCTCAATGCCATGAAAGAGAGCCAAACTGTAATTTTCTGCTGTTGTGTTTAATTTAGTGTTTGGACAGAAATCTGGGCTTCATTCAAAATGTGTCAATAAATGGATATGTGTGGGATGTTTGCAGTGAAGACCTGCGCGGCACTTTGTCCAATTGGACATCATGCTTATGGCATAGCTTCAAAGCCGAAAAAATGAGCGCACACATTTTGGTGTGTGAAAATCTGTTCATGCTCATGGGATTACATTTGTTGTGTCTTTACAGGTGCTTAACATCTAGTGCAAATAATCTAGGAGTATCTTTACATTGCGCTCATGTGTAAATGTCAAACTATAAATATTTGACAGTTGCTAAGTAACCTCAGAAACCACCTGCAGTGGTACATGAACGAATTGATTTAAAAATAGATGCAGCTGAGTTGTCACAGTATATACGTCCTGAAAACTATTGAATGGGAAACAGACAGAGCAAATTAAGCAAATGTACTGCATCATTAATAAAGAACAGTGCATTCTCAAAGACCGTTAGCATCAATCTGAGATTAAATGACACAAACACCTGACAGATGGATCTGAGTGTCTATAGAAATGCAGAAATATGCTACAGCAGACAGAAAGTAC